ATTCGCCCCTCTACTCTATAAAAGCCTCACTTCTTCAGCTTGGAGAGGCTCGTAGACATTTTGAGACTTGAGAGCTCGAGCACTTTGAGAGAAAACAAGACAAAATTCGAGAACCACTCACCTAAGCCTTACCGCGCGTGCAAGGACCTGGGGAAGGGAAAGCTTCGGCCATCTCGTGCTCCAGCCTATTTCTTCTAATACTTATCAACTTCCAAGCCTTACTTGGATTTTAATAAGTCATTGGAGTTCAACAAGCTCAGCAAATAGCACCCCGAGCCAAGCTATAACTCCCGAAGCCGTGCCATGCCTTATTCGAGCCCTAGCTCTCATTTCGACTTTCGAGCAAGGTAAGCTCCTACCTATCATCTTTCCCATCTTATATATGATAAATTAGGAATTATCATGATGAAAAATGATGCCATGCACGTGAAAAATATGGAGATATGATTTTTTCGAAGTTTAGGCCCTTAAATTCGGAATTTCTTGTGCATGCATGAGTTGGCTGTTCTTAGTAGCTTAAAAATCCTCAAAAATCATGAGAATGACATTGGTAAAAGATAGGCATGCTTTGAGTTCATTTGTTCGGTCAAGTTGTTAGTGAAATCGAGCTTATTTTCACCTTCGAGCTTAAGTTATATGCATGTGAGATATGACCAATGTTCTAGCCTCTTTAGCCATGATTTTTAACGTTATATATTCGGCCATAAGTGTTTATAGAAGTTGAGTATGTTCTTTCGGTGACCTAGGGCTCAAAGGTGCCATATCGGCCCTACCGAGCCAAGTCATTATCCAACCGAGTTGCCCTAGCATTTCTTGGCATATTTACGTGTTTTATATCATGTTATGTTGGTTTAGTTCGGTTGTCACCGGAATAGTTGCCAGAAGTCCGGCGAGGACCGGTCATGGGTCACCAGCCGCGCATGCAACGCTTGCCGTGCCCGTGCCGCGTCTAACGAGGCTAAGGTTGCCGCTGTCCGTTCCCACGCCCAGTGTGCGCGAGGCACTCCAGCCCCAGTCGCACGCGACAGCGCCCAGTAGTGATTGTCCGTGCCAGTGTGCGAGGTCTCGGCGCCAGTCGCACCCAAGCACCTCCGACAGCGCCCGGCAACGTTGTCCCAGTATCAGTACACGCGTGGTCTCGAGCCAGTCGTGCCGCGTGGAGAAAGCCTCAGGTCGTGCCAGTCGCATGCCTGAGCAACCCAGTGTCGTGTCCAGTGAACCCGAGTCCTGTGCCTTAGGTGCAGTTGGCCCCGGTACGTGCCCAGCAACACGCCCGAGTGCCCAGGGTCGCCCGGCAGCGCCCTAATCACCCAGCCGCGCCAGAGTTCGTGCGGGTAGTGTCTGTCCGCACCAGTCATGCCAGACCCGAGTCCGACCGTGCCCAGTAGCACGCTAGAGCCTTAGACAGCCTTAGTAGTGCCCAATCGCACGCCCCAGTGCCCAGTCGATCTCGGTTGTGCCCAGCAGCACCCGAGTGGCCCCAATTGTGCCAAGGCCATGCCAGTCGAGCCTGGTCGCGCACAGCACCGAGCCCCGGTCGCACCCAGCTTGTGCCTAGCGCCGCGCCAGGGCACCAGCAGGCCCTGCGCGTGACCGAGCCCGGCCAGTCCATGCAGCCCGTGACCACCTGGTCCAGAGTGAACCGGTGGTCCAACCCGGTCCAGTCCAGCCCGACCCGGTTCGAGTCAGTTTTGGTTCGAGATTTTTGGTCCGAGTCTTATTCCAAAATTTTAGTATTTTTCCGAACCAAACCAGATCAGTTAAGCATATCAGTCTAATTTTCGGACTCAGTATTATTTTAGTGAACCCATAAAGTGTTCCTTTATATCCGGATGAGTAATCCGATAGAGTAGAGAATCTTAGCATATTATTGAGCATATGACGAGCATAGTACTTAGTATATTTGTTTGCTTATATTTTTATGTAGCTTGAGAAGTCAGCTACCAGCACAGCCGCACTTACGAATTTTCAAAGCAAACTAGGTGGGGACCCAGTCTGGGTTATACATTGAGTATAATAGTCGATATCATGTTCAGGTATGTATATGAGTTTTATCCGCTTAGGGCCAAGGCCGAGTTTGCCTTCCCTAAGTTCTGGTGGTGGCCCAGTTCGCCTTAAATATACCATCAGAGTGTGCACACGGTACCGGCCAGAGTGTCCGGGAGATTACAGTTACCGGCCATAGTGTCCGGGAGATTTTAGTTTACTTATGCATACAAGTATTGTGATATCATTATTGTTATTGTTGTTTACTTTAGCATGGGTTTTTATGGAGTACAAGAGGACCAGTACTCACCCCCATTATGTTTTTCAGATTACAGGGTCGGCGGGCAGGCGTGAGGGCAGTTGTGGTGGTTGTGGTCGTGGATTTGGCACAGCTAGCCGTTCCATGGAATGTTTTGTATAACTATTATGACCACGCATTTTCAGACATCCGCTACATTTATTTTTCGTATCGAACTTGCATGGCAGTATTCTCAGATTTTAAAAGTTTTACCCGGTTCCCCAGTACGAACGGGTCCAGTTTTACGTGCTTGATTCGATAAAATATTAATCTGATTTTCTTTAAGTTTAAACTAGTTGATAGACCTAGTTTAAAGAAAACGGGTTTTAAAGCAGATAAGTTTTTAGCAGCATCCCGAGATAGTTTGTAAATGATTTCGAAAAAATTATAAGCGTTTTCGAAGGTAGAAGTTGCGAAAAAATGGCCCTAAGTAGCGAGGTGTTGCAACGCGCGAGAGGGCTCAAGGCGCTACACAGGTTGCGCCTTCGTAGCGATGCTAGAGCGCTCTGCCCAGGAGATCCGTCGCGCTGCGACACGCCATGCAACGCTACACAGGCCGCGCCCCCATTAACAACCAGCAGAGCATCTGTCCAGGTCGTCCCGTCGCGGCGCGAGACCCGAAGACCTCCGCGGCCAGGTTTTTTATTTCTTTCTTTTTTGGTTTTTTTAGCACTATATATTAGTCAGTCCCGAACTCGTTTTTTCAGATCTCCACCCTAGAACATAGACTTATTTTGATTTTTGTATTGGATTTCTTCTATGTTTTTTGGAATTTAGCTTGTTTACCAGATTCAATGCTCGGATCTTTATCAATTGTAACTTGTGCTCTTCATTGAATTTATGATATGGTTGCTTGAGTTGAGATGATTGATTATGTTGAATTGAATATGCGTAGCTAAATCCGATTGCTAGGGATAGGGGATAGTTGTTCTTGTTCGTTCGTATTTGTTGAGCCTTGATTTGTTCATTCTCGTACGAGTTGATTTGAAAAAGATTGTTAACTTCTTGCTTGAAGGTTGAATATAATTGGAGAGTGACACTTCAATCTTGCAATTGGTGCTAATTGAATGTTGTTCTATCGAGTTAGGGTTTTTTTTATTCTAAATGATTAGTCGATTAATCATTTTCTAATTTAATTTAACAATTTTTAGAAACGAAATGGGAGAAGTTGTAGACCTAGGATCGCACGAGATAGACAATTTTGTAAAAGAAGAGTCTACAAGTTTTTGGATTGAAATACATGCTCGCCTACATCATTTCCCTTGTTACGAAGAGTTATTGGGATTGAACTCTAGGCCGGTGTGCATGTTTGAACTTGTTCATCTATGTTCAATCACTTGTTATGAAAAGTTATTGGGAGCGAACTGCTAGATGTTGAAGGGAGAGCTTCAATCTTGGACCGAACAATTAATTGTCCAGCTTTGCATCTAGAACTAGAATAAATTATCCCCGACTCCCTAGCCTCTTTGTCATCGTTGATTCTTGTTTTTGGGTTGAATTCTAAATTTGAGTTGTTTGAGATTTCTAGTTGATAATTAAAGCCAAACAATTTGAATTAGAGTGTTTAGGATTTTTTTTCTTGTGGTTGAATACACGCAGAAGATAATTCCGGTAACCTTCCTCGAGGAATCGACTCGGGGAACGAACCCTTCGATTCAATACTCGGTAAATAACATAATTTGCTACAACAAGCATAGGACCTCGTCAATGCGAATGATATAGCACCCAGAGAATAACTTGGTACGTCAGTTCGAGAGAGTAGCTCGGTTATAGCTGAGCTAGGAGAACTTTCATAAGATAAGAGAAGAGATTCTCGGCCAAGTAGCCCAGACCTGGGTTTAAGATAACGAGCATAAAGAACGAACTCAACTTGGAGGTACCGGCCTGTAGGAGCTCGATAAAGTAGCCGAACTTGATGCATATCAAGGTTGGATGACCTGGGGACAAGTTAGGTATGAAGATGAGGTCGTATTAGACCTCAACGAAAGGTCGAGGACGTCCTCAAAAGTGACATAACAGATAGGATGGAAGGTCATATTCATGACCTATGGATCCCCGTGCTAAAATATGAACGAGTGAAAGAAACCAAGTAAGAAGGAAAGAATTAGTCGCTCGAGGATTCTTGCCAAGATAGAGGCGTGGTAAGTTAGGGAAGTAAAATCAAGGTTGATCTCTTCCCTAAAAAGAATCTCTTCGATTTGGGGGTATAAATTCTTATATAAGGACAACAGGTTCTGTAATGCCCCGTTCGTTTAATAAGAACCAGTTCAGTTTATTCTCATGAATACATTTCATATCTTTCATTTTGTTAGCTCGACTAAAATTATAATAAACTCATTAAACTTATGTAGATATCCTTATCTACCTATCTACCTAAGTTATTAATCTATAACTAAGTGTTCGAAAGTTATTTCAAATTTAATTTCTAGTGGAACTTCTTTTGCTAGCCTTTTCTAGCCAATTTTTTAAGAAAAGATCAAAGAATTATTTGGCCGTGTCACTTTGAATTTTCGGCCATATCAAGCTCTTTTTTTTCCGGCCAAATAAAGAAAATAACTGTGCGGAGGCTTTCTCGTCGTGTAGGTTTCTGTGTAGTCAGCTTTTTTTAGCTGTTTTAGACGTCTTATTAATCGTTTATAATTGCGTATTTATTTAATGTATCTATCANAAAAAAAAAAAAAAAAAAAAAAAAATCTTTCTAACAACCTGGTCTGGTCAATGAACACAGATTATATGAAAGGCGCGCAAATAAAAAATGGGACGACGTACAACTAAAAGATGACGATGATGTGTTTTTACTTTTAAACAAGAAGTTATTTGAGCGTGGGAGTTCTATATTTTATTCCTTTCCGCCCCCAAAACACACCCCTCGGCTCCATCTTCTCCAGATATCCCGAAACACAGAGTAGGAAAGCAAACCCCCATTTTTGAGTTGACTTTGAGAATCTGAGATGACAACGTCCATTTTACTCTCCAACCCTCTTTCCCCACACCTCCAACTTCTCAAATCCGAGTTTCCTCCTCGCTCTCCCTCCAAACTTCCTCCATTCCGCCTCAAAACCGCCGTTAAGCGGCGCGGGTCCGTCGAAGTCCGCTTGCAGAATGGCCCTCCAAAATTGATTAAATTCTTATCGGCCCCAAAAGTGGCGGAAATCGAACCCCAAGCAGCTGAGGACCCGCTGCCGCTAGTGGGGGAGGATTCTGCCCAATTCGTCCTGTCCCAACAGAAGATATCCTCCTGGGTTTACTTCTCTGTGATTTTGGGGGTCGTGCTTTATGTACTAGATGTCGCCTGGATCGATAACTCTACTGGCTTTGGTAAAGTCTTCATCGATGCCCTCTCCGCCTTTTCTGGCAGTCCTGAGGTCTGCTCATAACCCACTTGCTGTTTTGATTTGTCTCCTGTTTTGTCTTTTCCCGTTTTTGGGTACTAATCTTTCATTAGATCCTTCTTTTATTGATTGTTCTTTTATTTTTTATTGTTAGTACTGCCACTGACATCGTGTGTATATTTCTTGATCCTGACTGTATCTGACTATCTGTACATGAAGTGGGCTAATACATGAGCGGACTGCAAAGCCGATTATATATGAAGTTTGACTTAACTGAATTGCTAACTTGTACTTTGTGTGAGGTTTCCGTGTTCGGATCATGTTGTTTTTCTATTTTATAGATTTTCTAGTGTGAAGATGGTTCTTATATAATGAAACTGGTGATAGCATCAAAGAACATCAAACTTAATTGTGTTTGAATGGAAAACCGGAGAGAATATTATATCCTACATGTTTTAATCTGCATCATCTTAGATGTTTCAAAACTTTCTTCTTATGTTGGACCAACTCAAACCTTAAATCTATGAAATGGAAATATAATACTGTATGCTAACATATTACGTTGTTATGATGGGCCAGTCAGTGAGACTTCTCCAGGAGTTTCTTCTTATGTTTGATTCGATTGTAAGTAAAACGAATAACCCTTTTAAAAATAAACAATTATCATTACACGAGGTCCTGTATATAAAAGAAAATGAAGAAGCTACTCTAGTAAATGGCTCCTCACCTTTGGTTTGATTGGATCCTACCTGAGCACCGGTGTTCATGTTGATGGCATTTCAAGCCAAGAACATTTTTTTAGGTTGCAGTATAATTTGTTTATTATTGCGAATCTATTACTTTTAATCATTTAATGATTTGTACATTTATTTAACATATTATTTACTTTTGGTTGGTCGAGTCGTGGTATCATGTTATAACTTACAAGTTCATGAAAAGTGCCCTTTTCATTCCATATCAAACCGTGCTCATTTCAATGCAACACGCATCATCTATTCATGGATGAATCTATTATGGAGTTTCTGAATCCCTCTCTCTCTCTCTCTTGCTTGTGATTATCTATTACGGTGACATGGAAATTGATGTGGAACAAAATGAAGTAAATAAATTCATGCTAAGTAGCTCTATCATAGAATACTCCCTGTCCTTTTGCTTCTTATATATACTTGGTGCTTGCCTATTTATATGTCTTTGTTTCTTTCTGCCTTATGGTTACGAGATGCGGTTTGCCACTTTTTCTTTCGTGTTTTCAGCATGTAATTGCATATTGATTGTTAATGACGTCGTTTATATGTGCAGGTTGTCATGTTACTTCTTACCCTGATTTTTGCTGTGGTCCATAGTGGCTTAGCTAGCCTTAGGGACACAGGTGAGAAAGTCATTGGCGAAAGAGCATTCCGTGTGTTATTTGCTGGGATATCTCTTCCATTAGCTGTTAGTACTGTTGTGAGTTCCCGATCAGTTATACTTTTTTTTTTTTTTTTCCTTTGTGTGGGTTTCTAGCATTTACTGGGTTATTTTTTTGAGGCTTCTTATAGAAATTCCAGCACTTACTGATGGATTTAGTGAATCTTAATGAAATCCAATCCTGTCTGATGCCAGGTTTACTTCATCAACCACAGATACGATGGTGTGCAGCTGTGGCAACTTCAGAGTGTCCCTGGATTGCATGAATTTCTCTGGTTTGCCAACTTTATTTCCTTCCTTCTCCTTTATCCATCAACTTTCAATTTGTTAGAGGTTGCAGCTGTTGACAAGCCCAAAATGCATCTCTGGGAAACTGGAATAATGAGAATTACCAGGCACCCACAGGTATGTAATCTGTATATATATACATAAGAGAAAAAGGTGTTTTCGATGATATAATGTCAAAAGATTATGAGCCTGCTATTTCCAATAACCAACGAAACACTCTGTGAAGATTTCTTGTTGACAAACTATGGTGATTCCACGCATTGAAGTGACTGGAAGAATTACTTAAATTAATTCATATAAAAGAAAAGGAAAAAAAAAATATATTTGCTATCAAGTCTCTCAAGTTACTTAAGTCTTAAGAATTTGAGGAACATCTTTCTGTAAACTATGACAAGAATATTATTTTGACCTGATCGCCCCTATCCTGCCCCCGGGTCGCCGACACGCCCCACGTGTCGCCACGGCCCGCAGTTGTCGCGTGGGTGAAACGCGTGCTGGCATGCCGTGCACGTCTTACACGACATCGGCGTGCGTCGCCAAGCTACGCGTGCACTCTGGGCAACTCTCACAAAAATCGCGTGCAGCCCGCGTGCTTGCGCGCCCATCGCCCGTGCGTGTCCCGAGGGATACCCACGCTACATGCTTGATGCTCGACCTCACTGTACATAGCCCTTGCTCCACCTACATTAATCACCCATGAAGAATACTTTACTAGTACAGAGCCCGTGCGATGCACGGGGTGCACAATTTTAAGGCTATTTATCCAGAATTATAATTTGATACATGAATACAGAAAAATGTACAGGATATATGCGAGGCACGAGATCTATTTATTTGGAGAATATTATATTATAAGATACAATATTCAATAAAAGTTTTATAATACACAGGAAAATTGTATAATAAGATAGTATTCGACAAAGAAACAATCATATATTATTAAAGACCTCCTTGTACACAACATTATGAGTTTGATTTTCCATACAATAATAATAAGATATTTTGTAAAAAGATAAGAAGGAATTTTCAATCTACAAAAACTTTAAACATTAGATGTATTTACGTAAATCAATAACTATATAGACAACTAAACCCTTCAATTTTCTCCTATTCTTTTTAAATGTCATTTTGGCTTTATCAACCATTAATCAAATAAATGACATTTTGGATCTTTTTCACATATTTTTTTTTTATTTTTACCCTCACTTAGCTAATGAATACACTACACCTTTTCATATCAACTCTTAATTAATAATCATAAATTAAAAATTTTTGGGTAACATAAAATAGTGTAAATAACGAAAAAAATCAACAGAAAATAGTGTAAATAACGCAAAAAAAAAAAAAAAAAAAAAAAAAAGCAACAATGTGAAAACATTTATTTCAGTCAAATGGGAAATCAAATAAATACAATCTAAAAGCTCACATAAAAATTTTTCTTTACAGTATACTTCAACACCATCACCGACCCCTAACAATAGACGTTCGCGAGCAGCACTCTCAGCCTGTCTTAGAGATCGTAGCAGAAGCCGTTCATCGAGCTTTCGAGGTCTCGTTTCCATTCGAGTACGAAAATTCTCAAAGACGGGTAAACCTTTTTCCGAACCCTCTCGTTATTTT